TAACCCAGGACGGAGAATCTCACTCTGACAGTCACATCTCAACTCCCGTCCCTTACACCTCTTAAGTAATAATCCTCGTTTCCTTGCAAAGTACTTTTGAGCTTGCATATTTTTTTTTAATCCAGTCAGAAGTCATAATACAGCAGTCACATTCTACAGCAACGTACCACAAGTACCATGCTAGGGTCTCTGTAATCCTGCAACAGGTATCGTGTTGCGAGATTATAATACAGCAAACTTTTACAGGTAGCATACTGAGTGTTTGTAACTCTTAAAGGTATGTATCGGGGTTGCCTTGAAGATGGTGAGGGACTTTTGATTCAAGGGACTGTTGCTATTCTCCTCTTTTTCAGACTAGATTTGATAACCCTGCCCCTCTCATTTCTCAGACACTGCTTAACCCTCATGAGGTTGCTGCTTCCTCACGAAGAAATTAAAACTGTCACAATGCCAGTGATTCCGTTAGTTAAAGGGTCATTCTCATGGTGTTTGAGGCTTACTGTTGGCGTTATAGGGATATGAATAATATAAACAGAAAAACATACTGAGATTCAAACCAAAAGATTTAGTATATTTCAATAATAAGTATAGTAGTGATATTGCAATTTCTAGTTTTCTGTATCACAAGAAGTATATATGGGAAGAAAATGATCCGATTAATATAAGACTAAGTGCACAAGAATGGTTTACAGTACCGACAAGATGAAATTAAGACAGTTGCAACATCTGGGTATCTTTATTGTAGACGTTTCGCCATCCAGTGGCTTTATCAATACAAATTCCAGGACATAACTTGAAGACAGTAGAACTATGTACAGAAAATGAAGTAATCTGTCCCTCAGCCTTGGAGTTGGTGCGAAGAGCACCGTAGTCGTGGAGATTCTGAAGCAGAAGAATGGAACCTGGCGCTTTTATACTAACGTCAGGTGGAAAGGGGACGTGTAGCAGACGAGGGCACAGTCACTGGTAGGCGGGATTCCCCAGTGGAAGTAGGTCCTACCCAAAGAGATGGGTTAGTTGTAACAGTAGTTGTCGTAGTCGTGAAGGTTATGTACATGTCCTTAGAATCAAGATTCCATGATGTTGCAGTGTCTGACAAGTTGTACAAGAATGGTATACCACACGACTACGGTGCTCTACGCACCAACTCCAAGGTTGAGGGACTGATCACCTCATTTTCTGTATATAGTTCTACTGTCTTCAAGTTTTGTCCCGGAATTTGTATTGATAAAGCCACTGGATGGCGAAACGTCTACAATAAAGATACCCAGATGTTGCAATTGTGTCTTAATTTCATCAAGATTGCATAATTTTCAGGTCAATTAGTTATTAAGGGAAAATCATTTCAGCATAGTTTATCTAATTAGCAAAAAGTTCACATGTCCCACTTGGCAAACCTCTGATATATGTTAGCTATAATAATCTTATTTTTTTAACTCACCGTCCGTTTCCCACCGAGGCAGGGTGACCCGAAAAAAAACCACTTTCACTATCACTTACTCATCATTGTAATGACAGAAGTGCGCTGATACTAATGTTCAGATGCTCCTCCAGATTGCAATTATTCCCACCCGTCCTTCAGAGCGCAGGTACTGTACTTCCCACCTCCAGGACTCTCTGTTGACACTTGGTGTTGACACACTACTGTGTTGACACACTACTGTGTTGACACACTTCTGTGTTGACACACTTCTGTGTTGACACACTTCTGTGTTGACACACTTCTGTGTTGACACACTTCTGTGTTGACACACTTCTGTGTTGACACACTTCTGTGTTGACACACTTCTGTGTTGACACACTTTTGTGCTGACACTCCTGTGTTGACCTTCCTTGGTGTAACCCCTCTCTGTGTTATCCCTATCTGTGTTACCCCCTCTCATTGCTACCCCTGTCATTGTTACCTTTCTCAGTGTTACCCCTCTTAGAGGGGTATTTCCGCTCTCAGTGTTACCCCTCTGAGTGTTACCCCTTTCAGTGTCACCCCTTTCAGTGTTACCCTTCTCAGTGTTGCTCCTCTCAGTGTTACCCCTCTCAGTGTTTCTTCCTGTAGCCGCTTTCATGACTCACACAAATTAAATTGTACTCGAAATTTCACACGAAGACTCTTTAATTCTATGACCAATTATGTTATATAATAGTTTACTTGAATTTCTCGGCATTTTAAATAAATTTGGAACTCTGTATAAACTGCTTCAAATTGCGTATTTGTGCAAGCAATTTACGTGTACGCAACCACACAGTTCCTGCGTAGCATTAAGCCACACAGTTTCTCCTTGTCAACCACACAAGATCTTCTTAACAGCCATACAATTTCTCCTTATCAGCCACATAATATATTCTTGTCAGCCACACAATTTGTCCTATTCAGCCACATCATTTCTCCCTGTTAGCTCAACAATTGCTCTGTTACATATACACAATTCCACTGTGTCAGTCATAATTTCTCCCAGTCAGTCTCCGTCTCAGCCATAGGAATCCTTCGTTTCAGCCTAACAGTTCCCAGCGATCAACCACACAAGGCCTCTTTATCAGCCTCACAATTCCTTTACGTCTGCCGCACAGTCCCTCTGAATTTGCCATGTAGTTTCTCTCAGAGACACAATTCCTCGCAATTTCTCATCATCAACACGTTTTATGTGACGGAAACAATCCCTCTGTCTCAGCTGTACAATTCTTTTGCGTCTGAAATATAAGGATAAAGCTTTTTTTTGGTGGGGGGGGGGGGAGTGGAGAATAAATAAAACTGCCAGTAGCTTACATTACATGGGAAAACAGCCCGATATATGATAATCGGTTAAAAGATCCCCATTTTGTTTTTCCAATATACAAAATAACCAGTCTGAAAAATTAGTGATTTCCCAACCTCTACTGTAAACCTTTTGGAGGTCTAGTCCTAGGTCTTTTGTTTGTACATATGTTATTGCACGATATTACATAGAGTGATTATATTTCAGGTTTTGCTGCCGAAGTGGCAGCAAAATCTGAAATATAATCTTTCGGAAGAAATCACAAAAGCCTTAGAAAACTCACTAATTTTTTCACAGTAGTTATTTTGTAAACTGTGATATCACGTTTTTACTGTAATAATATTGCATATACTCCAATTTATTCTATAGATGGAATAAATCAACTTGTCACGGACATACATGACTGTGCAAAAATAACCCGCACAAAGGAGGGAGGAGCTTACGAAGACATTTCTGTTCGACTTGGACTATTTAGTAACTCTGAAAATGGTCCACGTCGTAGGTTATTTGTGTATTGTTCCAGTCACAGTATTGTGCCTTTTTGGTTCTTTATATACATGACTTGTTAACAGACGGAAAGAGAAATTTTACCCTGATAAAGTAAGTCTTCCTCCAAATAGGTATCTTGTAATTTTGTTTTATATTGGACAAATCTGCAGAGTCTCCCAGGCAATTTGTCCGAAATCGGCCCCCACCCGGCCCTCCTCACAGGCCTCCCCACGTCTCCTTGAACCCACCGTCGTCCCCTCCTGGACCACAACCTGCCCTCCCCCCCACACACGTCCGTACACTTACTCAGCCACATATTTTTTTCCTTTTTGGCAACACAATTTCCTCTTCGGAGTGCACCGTAGTGCTGGAGTGCACCGTGATGATTTAATGCACCAGGGTACTTGAGTGCACCGTGATGCTGGAGCGAACCGTGGTGCTGGAGTGAACCGTGGTGCTGGAGTGCACCGTGGTGCTGAAATGCACCTTGGTATTGGAGTGAACCATGGTGAAGGAGTGCACCGTGGTACTAGAGTGCACTGTGGTGCTGGGGTGTACCGTTGTGCTGGAGTGCACCGTGGTACTAGAGTGCATCGTGTTACTAGAGTGCACCGTGGTGCTGGATTGTACTGTGGTGCTGGATTGCACTGTGGTGCTGGATTGTTCTGTGGTGCTGGATTGTTCTGTGGTGCTGGATTGCACCGTGGTGCTGGAATGCACCGTGGTGCTGGAATGCACCGTGGTACTAGAGTGCACCGTGGTGCTGGAGTGCACCGTGGTGCTGGAGTGCACCGTGGTACTGGAGTGCACCGTGGTGCTGGAGTGCACCGTGGTACTGGAGTGCACCGTGGTGCTGGAGTGCACCGCGGTGCTGGATTGCACCGGGGTGCTAGATTGCACCGGGGTGCTGGATTGCACCGGGGTGCTGGATTGCACCGGGGTGCTGGATTGCACCGGGGTGCTGGATTGCACCGTGGTGAAGGATTGCACCGTGGTGCTGGATTGCACCGTGGTGCTGGATTGCACCCTGGTGCTGGATTGCACCCTGGTGCTGGATTGCACCGTGGTAGAGTGCACCGTGATGCTGGAATGCACCGTGGTGCTGGATTGCACCGTGGTGCTGGATTGCACCGTGGTGCTGGAGTGCACCGTGGTGCTGGAGTGCACCGTGGTGCTGGAGTGCACCGTTGTGCGGAGTGCACCGTTGTTGGAGTGACCCTGGGCTGGAGTGCACCGTGGG